GAATGTCTAACACGGGCACATACATATTGTAATAGACATGCTAGGCACGAAAGCTTGACAGGTGTAGAAACAGTAACTAAGGAGGACCGGGCTTAGCGAAGGGATCTCCTATTGCACTGTTAATCAATATTTCTTACCACATTTGGATCGTTTCACCTTTGCCTTGCCTTGTCAGAAGTAACAGAAGGACTTTAGTGTATCGTCAGAAACCACAGGTATTCATATTGGGTTTTTTTACTCAGAAAATTATTGTTAAACTTTTTTATGACTCACAGAGTATCATAGCTTCAGCATATGTTCTAATGAAGACAAAACAATGTTTTAGTAATACTTTCCACTACATATACCATTCAATATATACAGTTGAAGTCAGAATTATTAGCCCCCTGAATTATTAGCCCCTCTGTTTATTTTTTCCCCAATTTCTGTTAAACTAAGACTAGATATTTTTCAAGACACTTTTATATAGCTTGAAGTGACATTTAATGGCTTAACTAGGTTAATTAGGTTAACTAGGCAGGTTAGGGGAATTAGGCAAGTTAATTTATAATGACAGTTTGTTCTGTAGACTATTGAAAAAAAATCTAGCTTAAAGGGGCTAATCATTTTGACCTTAAAATGGTTTTTAACAAATTAAAAACTGCTTTTATTCTAGCCAAAATAAAACAAAAAAGACTTTCTCCAGAAGATAAAATATTGTCAGACATACTGTGAGAATTTCCTTGCTCCGTTAAAAATAATTTGGGAATTTGTGAAAATTTAAAGGGGGCTAATAATTCTGACTTCAACTATATATACATTGACATAGTTAACCATTAAAACTTTGTGCTTTCAAACATATTACATTAGTGGCTTTATGATGCCACCAACAGAAACAACAGTTATTGAATAACTTAATATTAAATAATTTATTTACTGCTTTGCGCAGTCATTGGAACTTTTTTACAAGCTGTGTTTTGTTTCAGATCTTAAGGAAAATGAAAAATGGCAAACATACATAATGAAAGCGTTTTACTCTTTCAACAATAGTCAGAATGGTTCAAAAAAAAGGAGTGGAAGAGAGTAATTTATAGGTTTCGTGCTGCTGCTATTAATAACAACCAAGACTGAAAGCTTTGCAGATTTGCAAGTAAAAAAATTAACCAGGGAATTACGTTAAATGGTAAGAAAAGCTGAAACTAGAGCACAGAGAATTAATACCAGGTTAAAAATGTTAACCTGGTATGATGGTGTGAACAATAATAGAAAGTTGAAGACAAATAATAACTTGCTTAATAAATCACACTTAGCCTAATTAACTTAGATTACCGGATTCGAATGTTATCACTCCATGAAATGGGCGCTATCAGTGGTTGTCAGCTAATAGATACGGCCCAGTAGGCGCAGAAGGCTGTAATCATCCTTCCCAATGGTTAATGAGCTATACTAATAGAGAAGACTCCAGATCCAGATCTGTTTTACATTTCTGTGATGGTTGGGTTTAGGGTTGGGGTAGAGGTAGACGTTAATAAAATACAATTAATGGGACATTTAATATAAATATTATAAATAATTTTTGTTGACTTCCGGTTGCAGCCGTATGTAATTTAAAGCTGATTAACCATGTGGATGGATGATCACAGCCTTCTGAGCCTACCAGTAGAAGCTGAAGGCCCCTACTGAACCACATCTATCAGCTGATAAACACTGATAACACCCATTCAATCGAGTGATAACATTCGAGTAGGCTGCTTAGTTAAGCCTTTAAATTAAATAATAGTATCTTGCAATTTTTTTTTAACTAGGAAAGTATTACTGTTAGTATAGACAGATGAGTTTAGTTATTAGAAACTTGTTATTGAAACTGTATAAAATGTGTTCAAAATGTTCTCTGTGTTAAACAACACTTGGGGAAATATTAGAATTTTTTTTATATACTAGGGTTAATAATTTGGTTTTTAACTGTTTATTAAAGTGCCTGATATCCTAAAAGACACCAGAGATGGTGAAAGTACACACATCTTTTGCTCAAATAGAAGTACAGATAGTCATGTTTAAACCGACTCTGGTAAAAGTTGAAGTAGTGATTACACTTTTGTACTCAAGTAAAAGTAAAGAAGTATGGCCTGAACTATGTTCTTAAGTAAAAAGTATTCATTACAACTTCATGTTTTAGTTTCTCTAAATATCCGGTTACCTTAAAAACAACATACACAGGCGTGACTACAACCTACAAAACATGTGCATGATTTTTTTACGTGATATATTCAGGATCTTTTGCATTCTATTTTTATTCATAAATTCCCAGTATAGTTACTTTTGTTGTTGTTAATTATTTAAAAAAAAATAATAAATGAAGACAACAATATAGGTCTATACGAAAAAAACATTTAAAGAGCCCCTATTATGGGTTTTTGAAAATGACCTTCAATGTAGTGTGTAACATGGCTCTAAGTGAAGTGAAATATCCAGCTAAGGCTTAAATCTAAAAGTGTACACTGTTTAAAACACTTAATTAATTTATGAAAGAGTCGACTCATAGTGCTTCAAATAAATCGTCATGGTAACGAGACTTTAGCCATTTCAGCGTGATGTCAATACAAAACTTAAGTCCTGGCCAATCGTTATGCGCGCAAATCCGGGAAAATTTTAACCTGCGCACCCCACCCACAAACACAGTAGCAAAGAAAAAGAGGAAGATCCTGGTTGAATCAAGTCGTGAAGACGCTGTGCTCAGCTTGAAATTATTGGAAGTGTGAGGGGACAGTTAGTGTTATTTTCCCTACCCAAAGATGAAACTGTAAAGAGTCAGTGGTTGGGGTTCATTTTTGCATAAATACCTCAGCATTATAGCCCAAGCCTTGTGCTGTGTTATCGTCATTTTCTGATAAGTGCTTCTGGAATCTACACGCTTACAACGGGGGATTCGTTGGCTGTTTGTTAAAGGAAGGATTAGAAAAGACTATTGATGTGTGGGACTCGACAGGAACTTTACAGTGCACAGTTTATGGACCAGTTTCTTTCTCCATTTCACAAGTGTAAGTAAGTGCGATTAAAATGGTTGCCTCCTTGTTTTTTCTTTAGCTTGCATATTATGTTTTGGTACTTGTAACCACTTGTACTGTATCTGGTTAACTCTTTTGTATCTGGTTAACTCATGTTGCGTCTAATACCACGATGAAAACGTGACGTGTGCCGATTTGTTTGCGGATTTAAATGCATTTGTGTGCTCGCATTCCACTGCCGTTTGTTGTTGCTATGGCCACCGTCAGCTGTTCCTACACACGTGCAGTGGTCAAGGTTAAAAATAGTTCAGCTTTTGCCACTATGTGGATTAATACTATTAATTGAAATTACAGGAGTTTTCCGGGATAAATAACAAAACGGGAGGGAGACGGGAGATATAGGAGACTTCCGGGAAAACCAGGAGTGTTGGTACGTATGCTTACACATACTCTCTGCACTCTGACTACTTCACTATTGTTGATCAGCCATGCTGGGCATTTCACTCTGTCTCACGCTGAAAGCTGTCGTCAAAATCACAACAGGCTGTCATTAATCCAATTGGCGCAGATTAGCTTCACCCTAATGAGGGGTTTGGGAACAAATAAATCGCTGAACAAATCATATGGGAGTCTCTGGGATAATTATGTAAAAAATAAATTCATATTATAAGGCAATGAAAGTGTTTGTTGACCTTGCATGCATATCGGCCTGTTGTTGGAGACCCCCAAAACCAAAATATGACCCTTTTTAATGTATAATAAAAAAGAAAAAGACAGCATAAACTCTGTATTAGAAAATAACTAAATTATCTCATCTAAATAAACCTCAACAAATAAATTTTTTGTTAAATATTTGATTGTTTTAGTACTAAAATGTAAACAAGGCAGCATCATGTTAAATTCAACTTCCTCTGTCTCATCTGAGTTGGCATTGTTGTCTTTCTCATGGTAATCTTCATAAACTAGCCCACATAAAGAACGCAATGACGAAAAATAGATTGATTGAATTAAGTGTGGTTTATTCATAAACTAATTTCGAGAGGATCACGTGCTTATGATCAACACGGCTGGCTCCATATTAGGTCTGTAATCTGCCCTATTAGATGATTACGAAAGCATTATAAATAATCTGAGTTTTTCACTCCAGTTATCTTCATCTTGACAAGCTCAGGGCTCTCTCCCGGGACAGCATGCCAAATACGCTTTGATTATCAGCTAAGGATGAGCTCTTGAAAAAGGAGCTTAAATTGTGCAATGACAAGAAATAACATAGTTTGCGCCACCTGACACATGAAAACGAAAGTAACAACCGTGGTTTAAAAAAAATGTAAGGAGTAGAAAGTACAGATATTTGTGTAAAAATGAAAGGATTAAAAGTAAAAAGTTGTCAAAAATTAAACAGTGGAGTAAAATACTGATACCAAAAAAATCTATTTGAGTACAGTAACTAGTACAGTAAAGTATTTGTACTTCATTACTTCCCATCTCTGACAAACACACATACTGTTCAAAATAAAGGTATACATATACATACCAGGAGTATGAGTAATTTTAGGCTTGACTGTATATCTGAAGAGTTTAGATGCAAATTTTCATCAGATTCTTCAGATTTTTTTCTTAGGTTCCTATGTGTAGGTTATTCAATTCTACTTTTCATGGCAAATAATAGGTTATTTTCATTGCCTTACATGAAACTTTACTTACAAACACTGCAACAACTGAAAATGAACAGGATGCTAAGAAAATGCATATTTTAGGAGATAATTACAGACGGCACTTAGAGGTTTTTGCATGTGAATGTGAAATTGCTGAACCTGAGCATGATAAAAGAAAATGTGGAAGTTTTTGCATCTATCTTCAGCAGTAATGTTTATAAGATTATCGAAAAGAAAAGGGAAATTAATGTTTTATATGATGAAATAATCGACGACCACAAGTGCACGTATGAGGAAATCCCTTTTCTTGATGTCCGCAACTGCTGCAGTGGTTGACCTTATTTTAAAAGTTGCATCAAACCTGTATGTCTTCTGTCTCTGTTCCAGTTCTTTGCGCCTGTGCTGTTTCGCCACTCCGGTCTTGTCGTGCTGTGGCAATCGAGCTGAAACACAACAAGCATCCAAATGTTATACTAAAATTGAATGCTGTATTACAGGAAGTGATATGTCCAATGGGAACGTACCCCTGCCATCTCTGAGGATCACCTCTTTGTCATCAACCAACCAGCGGAAGCAGGGGAACTCCACATAATCTCCATAGGGTGTCTTCACCGTGATGTATTTACAGTACCAGTCGTCGTGCATCCAGTATTTCTTCTTTTCAATTTTAACCAGCTGAATTTCACCAAGATCCTCTCCTACGCTGATGTCATATGAGTCCACCTTGAATCACAAAATGCCAAATGCTTTTAAAATTCAATTTTACACAATAAGGTTTGAGAACAAAATGCGGAACTTAGCTGATGATTGATTATAAAGCTTGTTTGGCATGCTGTCCCAGGAGAGAGCCCCAAGCTCATAAGATCCCTGAGCCCGGGGCTCGCTCCCGTTTGCAAGGCGAGAGGGGAGTTTGAGCTCAGGTAAATCTCAAGAACTCCCCAGCTGTAGTAGCTAATGAACAGATAGTGATTGCTCTTAAGAGATAACTACTTAGGAGCATGTCTATGGTGCCGATTTGGATTAGTTCATTAACTTAAGTTGTATGTTTTTGGACGGTGAGCACAGGGAGAACATGTAAACTCTGCACTGAAACATCGGCTGGCTTGGTAAGGACTAGGGCTGGACGATATGGCAAAAATGTATATCATGATATATGTCTTAATTATATAATAATATGTCTTAATTGTGAATTTTATTTTGTAAGTTTGCTCGAGTGCTATACCAGCATGCAGCGAGTTTCTGTGAGTATATATATATGTGTGTGTGTGTGTGTGTGTGTGTGTGTGTGTGTGTGTGTGTGTGTGTGTGTGTGTGTGTGTGTGTGTGTGTGTGTGTGTATATATATATATATATATATATATATATATATATAGTTTAATTCAGAATTATTAGCCCCCCTGAATTATTAGCCCCTCTGTCTATTTTTCCCCAATTTCTGTTTAACAAAGAGAAGATTTTTTCAACAGATTTCTAAACATAATACTTTTAATAATTTTATCTTTGCCATGATGACAGCAAACAATATTTTGCTAGATATTTTACAAGGCGCTTCTATACAGCTTAAAGTGACATTTAAAGGCTTTACTAGGTTAATTAGGTTATCAAGGCGGGTTAGGGTAATTTGGCAAGTTAATATATAACGATGGTTTGTTCTGTAGATATATAGCTTAAAGGGGCTAATAAATTTTACCTTAAACTGGTGTTTAAAAAAATCAAAAACTGCTTTTATTTCAGCCAAAATAAAACAAATAAGACTTTCTCCAGATGACAAAAATATGATCAGACATACTGTGAAAATTTTCTTGCTCTGTTACACGTTATTCAGAAAATATTTAAAAAAGAAGAAATCAAAGAGGGGCTAATAATTCTGACTTCAACTGTATATATGTGTGTGTGTGTGTGTGTGGGTGGGTGTATGCATGCACTAAGTTTATATGTATATGCGCAAGTTTCAAACATGTTTGAACATAGTATAGGTTTATTTGTGAGTAATTTATAGGTGTTAAGCACGTGTTGATAAGCGAAGATTGAAATCCTTCAGGGTTTCGTCTTCCCTTTATCAGGCTCATTATCTGATTTACTCTGGTTTAAAAAAAATATGTATATGTATGCTTGACTGCCTCTGGCATTTTTGAAAATACATACGTTATTTAGTAGGCCACTATGTCATTATTTATTTTCGCTGCTCACAGCTGCGCACGAAACAATAATCACCAATCAATGAGAGTGATTGTAAACGTGAGAAAGCTGATTAGACAAAAGTGACTACATTTTTGTGTGCTCGCGTACACAATACACTTTACTATTGCTGCCAGATTAATCAGTCAGCAACATCTGGCAACACTGCACACAGCTTTGCTAGCTGTTTTCACTCGGACTTATTCACAGTCTCTCTCTCACATAAACATCATGCACAAGTTACACAAAACACGACCATCTGACATTTCCCAGAGCAAGATCCAGCACTGCTGAGAACAGTTTATTTATCGTACTTAGCATGCACGACTTATTCGCCATTTGTAAAAGGTTTGCAGTTTATGCTGGAGCTTCTCACGTCTTCTTTCAGCTTTTGCTAAGCTTGTACTTTGCTGCAAAAGCTGCATGGTGGGTTTTGCCATAGGTTACCGATTATTGTTCTATCGGGTGGAACAGATTTGATGTGTCCCTGATGCTAGTCACCGCGGTATCCTAGTCGGCATCGCTCTCCATCACATTTTGCAGAGCACCGAAACTATAAGTTTATTGGAACTTAAAAAGCCGAACTACTTTCAAACCATGGCATTAGTCCTTACTCTCTCATCAACTAAGTGGTCTGCATTCTTACTCGTGGAAGCTTGTTCATACACATCTGTATTCAGGGCACTCATTTTGTAGCTAAAAAACTTTCTGCGAGACTGCGATGGAGAGAACTGCTGAGCACTGGCATTGTGTCTGTGATGTACAGCATCACGCAAGTGACATGATCACACTCTTTACGGCTGAGCACTGAAAGTCATTCAGTGACAAATGATACAATGTATAAGATCTTACATATAATAATAATAATAATAATAATAATATATATATATATATATATATATATATATATATATATATATATATATATATATATATATATATATATATATATATATATATATATATATATATATATATATATATATATATATATAAGCAAATTTATATAGAAATACTGGAAATGGGTTTAAAAATCATATCACTGTTAAATGAAAAAAATTCGGTGGCGATATATATTGACATCAAATTATTGTCCAGCCCTTGTAAGGACTAGAACCATTGACGTACTTGCTGCGAGGCAACAGTGCTAACCACTGGGCCACCGTGCCACCCATCTAGGAAAAAAGGAGGAGTAGGGGTGGAAGGAGGGATTCTTCAAAACGAAGATGGCTGTGATATGGAACTTAGGGTATTTATATTGGCTTAGGAATCGTCTGATTAGTGAATCATAAATTGAATAATGCGGGACCGGCTGCAACAATCATAAGCATGAGATCCTCTCGAAAGTAGTTTATACTGTAAATAAACCTCGGTTTAATACATGCATCCTCTTCATTTTTGACTCAATGGAATATCATTTTAGGACCCTTTAATTTCCACACTTACAATATATCACTTATTTCCACAAAATATCAATAAATATGAGCAGTTTTCCTATTTTGTGGTTAATGTTTTTATTTTTGAAAAGCATTGAAAAGTAAAAAAAAAAAAAAAAGACTTTAATTAACTTTGGGTGTACCTAATAAAGTGGCTGGTGAGTGTAAATTACAACGTTTACCTTCCCGCTCTTTTTATTAGAGAGAATTTTGCTGAATATATGTTTTTTTTTTCTTACTCCAAAACAGTAAACGTCATTTTACTGAAACTCAAATTGCTGGAGGCATTAAGGACCACAGGATGCTAATCATTTTCAAATATTTAGGTGATGTAATAATATTAGATGTTTTTAGAAAGGTATACATAACATTTTAGAAAAGATCTTAAATCTTTCAATTCATTTCAGCTTTGAGGTATTTTAGATAAACTGTCAATGGATTTCTTGGAAAGGAAAAACAAATACACAGTTGATTTCAGAATTATTAGCATCCATTTTTTAAAATAATTTTTTTGCCCAATTTCTGTTTAACCGAGAGCAGATTTTTTCAACACATTTCTGAACATAATAGTTTTAATAACTCATTCCTAATAACTGATTTATTTTTTATTTGCCATGATGACAGTACATAATATTTTACTAGATATTTTTCTATACTGCTTAAAGTGGCATTTAAATGCTTGACTAGGTTAATTACGTTAACTAGGCAGTTTAGGGTAATTAGGCAAGTTATTGTATAATGATGGATTGTTAATAATAGCTTAAAAGGGGCTAATCATTTTGACCTTAAAATTATTATTATTATTTTTTTAAAAACTGCTTTTATTCTAGCCGAAATGAACAAATAAGATTTTTTCCAAAAGAAAAAATATCATCAAACATATTGTGAAAATTTCCTTGCTCTGTTAAGCATAACTTAGGAAATATTTAAAACAGAAAAAAAAATAATGGGCGGCTAATAATTCTGAGTTCAACTAAATGCTGCTTGACTATTTTAAAGATACAAGAACAAGTTTCAACAAGTTTAAGTTTTACAGCAAACATTTTTTGTTTAAAAGTGACAAAAACAAGGCTAAATTTGGGCAGCCTGCTGAAAAAAATAGACATCTAACAATACATCAAAACAGACTGATCAGATTAGACAGACTGCACACTTTTTATTTAAAAACTTTGGGACTGTTGTTAGATGTCGACCAGATTTTCACTGACAGCCCAAATTTAGCCTTGTTTTAGCACAAACATCTATGTTTTGATGTCTGTTAAATATCTTGTAAACACCAAATATGCTTGCTGGGATGAGCTTATTGTGCACTTTCTGCCATTTTAAATGCAAATAATCAAACTCTTTGAAATTAGCTAAAACCATGACAAGGACTTATCCTTGCCGTTAAAGTGAAATAACTGAATGGGATTCTGATAAAAATGCTCATTTTAGAAGAAAATCAGATGGCATTTAGAGGCATTTGCATCTAAACTCTTCATATATAACCCAAATGCATGTTCATGAATGTGTAAAAGGGATATGAAATATTATGAAACATTATATAAAAATATGTTATTGAACATACTGGGCAAATAATGCTAAGCTATAAATAAAGTCACATGAAATTAACCCTTTCTTTTTTCATCATGAAGTAAAATTACAGGCCTTTATTCCTGTAACTAGTAATGCTTTGGTATTATTATTATTATTATTATTATTATTATTATTATTATTAATTTGGCTATTGATTATTATGACTTCCCAGTACTGGGTTGTGGCTGGAAGGGCATCCACTATGTAAAACATATGCTGGAATAGTTGGTGGTTCATTCCACTGTGGCGATCTCTGAAATAAAGACTAAGTTGTAGGAAAATGAATGAATGAATGAATGATTATTACAATTTAAAAAACAGAAATTCTAATGGTTCTGTAATGGTTTTAATGTTTATAATGGATATTACATGGATTATAATGGAATCTGTAAATGTCCTGGGGCTCTCAAATGGTAATTGATTATTGGTGACATGTTAAAGCCAATACATCCTAATGGAATCTTCCCAGAACAACCTTTAAAGCATTAAAATGTACTGGCTTAATAGGTAACCTTTATGGTTTAATGGTTAACTCACTGTTTAACTATTTAAAATGTGATGGATTGTATTGGTTTTAATTGTTTGTGCAGTGGAAAAATCTTTTTCAGAAGTTTATGAATATGCACTGGGTTATATGTATACTTTGTATGATTATAAATGATAATTTGGAGACATTTTGAAGGGTTTGATCTCACTTAAGGTTTTGATCTCAAGTTAATTGCCAAACAATGTAAATTCTTTCTCTTTGTGAATCAAACATTTTTTAATGCTCTTGTATTTTATCTTTTGATTATAAAGACTCAGCACATAATATATCCACAATATAAACCACAAATATGCTGAGTTTGGGCTCAGGGTCTTAATTAACGACCATGACACATCTTTATTACAATATTACAGCTTCAAGTTCACAGTTAAATCGCAATAAAAGAAGTGTATTCAATGTTTTGGTAAATATTCGAGTAGTTTCTAAGTGAAACCATACTCCTTTTTATTTCATTTTAGTGTATACATGTGCTATTGGGCAGTTTGTAACTGTTTCAATCATTTTATATGAAGTAAACGGAACGTACTGGACAAAAAACGTGAAGAATTACATAAAATAAACATTTTTCACGTTTTTTTATTTCTACTTTTATTTCTTTTGTATTTTTCATTCCTGGTCTGTGATAGTTAAGATTATACTATATACTACAACAACATATAAACTACAGAGATGCTGAGTTTGCTCATTATATAGTACTGGGAGACAACAAGCTTAATTCATTTCAAAGGTTAAAGGCTGCTACTGCTAAATTCTGGACTTGCATTCCTTATGACCTTAATAAAAGACCAAAAGAAAGTTTCATAATTTAACATTCTTATTGTCACAGATATTGTGAACTAAGTTTTCAATGTGTCATCCAAAGACGCACCACTTGAAAAAAAATACTATAGTAACTTTTATCAGTTTTTGGACCATACTACAATTTTAAAATATTGTAATCTGTTGTGGTAATTCTATATTTACTGTGGTAATACAACTAAAGAAATGTAAACAAATCACTCAATAATGTACTATGGTTTCTAAAATGATATCATGCTACAATACACTACACTATAGTGTAGAAAATTATTCATGTTCACTGAAAAAAAAAAGATTCAAAGATTATTTCTATTTGTTTTTTCAAGTTAAGTGGTTGTAAACAATTTATTTGGGCTGAATTTAGACAAAAAAATTAAGTTGAACATTACTAAGTTTAATTTGCTTACATTCAACACAAATAAATTGCTTGCAACAATTTTGCAGACATCCTTTTTTTCAGTGTTGTTCAGTATTCTTCATGTTCAGTAATCAGTTCATGAGTCAGGAGGTATACCATAAATAGCCTATCAAATATACAATACAATACACTTTACTATAGTATGGTTCAAAAACATCATAGTATTTACTTTATTTATTTTTAGGGAAAGACAAGTTCACTCAGAAAGCGTTAAAACTTTCACTCAGAAAGTGCTCAAATATGTTACGAAACGTATACACACTTAAGTTCCAGTTGCCACATTGCAATAAACATGAAATTCTGAATTTAAAAAGCATAGTATTTTTCATTTAAATATACTGTAACAAAACATTATCCTTTATCAAACATAAATAATCATTTCTTTACATGAAAAACAAAAACATTAACGTGATTTGATTAGGGTATACATTATAGATTAAATAGTATTGTCACCAAACATAATTACTATAACAGATCAATTCAAGTACTTGGTTCAAAAGCTACTGTAAGTTAGTACGATACTAATTTTCCGTATGGGTTTATATACTGTGGTTAAAAGCTCCTTACCGCTCCTCTCTCGAAGTCGTTGTAGAGGGGTTTATCCAGCAGGGTCCTGTCACTGCAGCCCTCAGAGCCCACCAGAGTCAGATAAATATAATCATCGGTGCCAGCAAACCACTGAGTGCCAGTGGCAACAGTCACCGTGTAGCTGGGCATTTTCAAGCTGGAGATGAACTCTGAACGTGAGTGGGCTTTTCAAGAGTCGCACTGCATTTCCTCTTCTTTCTTTCCCATTTTAACTAACCGACTCCAGCCACAAGCCACACAACTGACTCCAGCCACACAAACACACACACACACACACACACACACACACACACACACACACACACACACACACACACACACACACACACACACACACACACACACACACACACACACACACACACACACACTGATAAACAGACGCGGAAACTATAGATGAGATCTTGATGTGTGATAGAGTACAACCCAGAGAGTTATGCAAAATATAAACTATACGAAGGTCTTCGACTGTCGCCATGCATTTCTTTTACCTTTTTGATTTATGTTTACACTTTATAACTATCTGGGAGATAAATTTGTAATTGAGGAACTAGTTTTCAAAGATGCTCTTCTTGTCGTATATTACTTTTACTTCACACTTCGTTTTCTCAAATGAGTTTCTTTAGTACGTGCAGCATGTGTTTGTGGTATCCGACGATGTTAACCATCATTAACAGGAAGATAAAGTATAAAAAGAGTTTTGCAAATGTTTCGCTACGTTCTTTCTTTTTTCTCTTTTTTGTTACTATTAAAACACATCTGTTAGGTTTATTTTATAAACACTAATGGTTTTAAATATTTTGATGCTCATTTGCCAAAGGCCTGAAGATGGAGAAGATAAAAGTCAACAGATTTGTTGATATATACAGATATATTTGAGATGATTATTGATTTTTTTGCTTTGAAAAATTTAATAAATAAGCTTACATTGATACTTTCTTAGGATATGACAGTATTAGGATGAAATAACTAGGCTATTTGAAAGTAATCTGAAGGTTTAAAAATTCCCAGCAATGCACAGTATCGCATTGAATGATGGTACCTGAGCGGTCTGCTCCTCTTTGCTAGATCTGGGCCAATTAAGCCATATCAATCAGCCAGAATTCAACCAAATGAACCAAAACTGTCCCTATTCTGGGCCACAGTTTGCTTTTATTCTGGCCCATTTGGCCCACACCCACTTACATCCGGATCACAAACTGAATGGAATGATGGCTCAAGGGTGGTCCGTTACTATTTGTCAGATCTCTGTACTATCTGTACTAACGATTTCTGACACACACACACACAAATAAAGAAGAGAAAATCTATAATTTGACACATATGATGGAATTATGGATTGATCCTGTGGGCCAGCCTGAACTCCCGCTGGTGACCCACTCACACCTGCAGCTACTCCACGATGGACGTCCAGAGTTCTCCAGCCTCCAGCACCTCAACAGCAGCTCAAGTTTGGCCAGAGGAGAAATGGTCGTGCTCAACTGAGCCTGGTTTCTCTCGAGGTTTTTTCCTTCACTTTCATCAACTGGTGAAGTTTTGTTCCTGGCCACTGTCGCCACTAGCTTGCTTGGTTTGGGAATTGTGGAGCTGCGCATTGATGGATTTGCTCTTCAGTGTTTGAACTTTCAGTAGTGAAATTTTACCACACTGAACTAAACTAAACTGAACTCAAACTCTGAGGTCTAGACTGAAACAGTTTCAGTTTACCACAACTTCTGCGTTAAGCTGCTTTGACACAATCTACATTGTAAAAGCGCTATATACAGTTGAAGTCAGAATTATTAGCCCCCCTAACTTATTAGATTGCTTGTTTATTTTTTCCCCAATTTCTATTTAATGGAGAGCAGATTTTTTCAACACATTTCTAAACATAATAGTTTTAATAACTCATCTCTAATAACTGATTTATTTTATCTTTGCCATGATGACAGTAAATAATATTTTACTAGATATTTTCAAGACACTTCTATACAGCTTAAAGTGACATTTAAAGGCTTAACTAGGTTAATCAGGTTAACTAGGCAGGCTAGGGTAATTAGGCAAGTTATTCTATAACGATGGTTTGTTCTGTAGACTATCAAGAAAAAATATAGCTTAAAAGGGCTAATAATTTTGTCACTAAAATGGTGTTTAAAAAAATTAAAACTGCTTTTATTGTAGCCGAAATAAAACAAATAAGACTTTCTCCAGAAGAAAAAATATTATCAGACATACTGTGAAAATTCCCTTGCTCTGTTCAACATCATTTGGAAAATATTTTAAAAAGAAGAAAAAATTTCGAAGGGGGCTAATAATTCTGACTTCAACTGTATAAAGATGAATCCAATTGTATTGAATATATTTTTGGCTGTTGCCAAATCACGTTACTTGGTGCTCAAGTAACATTTACTGTTATTAACAATGTGTTAAAACAGTTCTGAAAACAACTACAAATGATCAGTAATGTAAAGTATTAAGGCATTTTCGGATGATATTCTATAAACAACACCTACAGTTTATATATTCATTAGTTTGTCATTTCATTTTCATGGCTTTTTAGTTTGTTTCCTTTTGTTGTTTAATAAAAAAGTAAATATAAATCATATAAACTGAATAACATGTTAACTCCAATACTTTTGAATGCTTTTGTATGTAACTTTAAAGGCCATTAAACTACATATTGTTATAATGTTATGACATATAGACATATGTTCAGACTAGAGTTTAATTTGTAGCCTAACATATTTTCCAGTCAAATGAGACAAAATTTCAAACAACAGTACCTTATAAACATAAGAGGAAATAAATGCAAATATGGTGAGGGGTGCCATAGTGAATGCATAAGCAGGCAAGCAAATGAGGAAATGTTATGGAAATCCTACCAGATGACAAATGACGACTGGAATAATTGAAAACTGAAGTACTGTAATATCAATTTTAAATGGGCTTCACGATGGCGCAGTGGATAGCACAATCACCTCACAGCAGTAATGTCAGTTGGTTCTGTGTGGTGTGTGCATGTTCTCTTCCTTTGCCTGGGTTTTCTCCGGGGTCTCCGGTTTCCCCCACAGTCCAAAGACATGCAGGTGAATTGGGTGAGCTAAATTGTCCGAAATGTAAGCCTGAATGAGTGTGTATGGATGTTTCATAGTGATGGGTTGCAGATGGAAGAACATCCGCTGTGTAAAACTTATGTTGGAAAGTTAGGGGTTCATTCCGCTGCGGCGACCCCTGATTAAAAAAAGGATGAAGCCAAAAAGATTATGAAAATGAAGAAACTAAAAGTATGTGTTAGTCGCAACAAAGATAAACTAAAGCACAAGACAACTTTATATTTATTTTTAATGCTTCAAAGAATAATTACATGTACAAAACATTGTCATTTACCATTTCTATATTACATATTCTCTCGTCATGTAAAAATAGTATAATCATTTAATTGCCATAACACATTAAATGAAGGTGATTTGTCAAAAGAAGCAAGATAAACGTTCTTGTTTTCAGTCAGGTTATAAGACTCTTATTCTATTGATTTAACATTTAGTGCAAAGAAACCTGAATTACAATAATGGAATCACAACCTTCAATACTGCTTTCTTCTAAAACTTATAAAACTATGATCATCAGTCTCTGTTGAATGTACACACACATATGTAAATATTCCCCTTGAAAAAACGCAAAGCACGTCTAAAACGTGATTTAAAAACTCAACACTGCCACCACATGGCAAAAACAATTACATTAGAAAAGAAAATGGACTAAAGTGCTCATTTCCATACATAAAAAAACAGATTATTTAAAACAAATTACTACATATAAACATGCAAGCAGTTCCCAGGATTCCTGATTCACAGTTTTGTGTTTGAGCAGAATGAAATCACCTTTATTCTGTAAACTACCAATCACATTCTACCAAACGTCAAATAAAAAGACTGAACTTAGAGCAGAGGTGTCCAAACTCTTTCGAGGAGGGCTGGTGTCCAGCAGATTTTAGCTCCAACTGGCACACACCTGCATGGATGTTTCTAGAGAGCCTGGTAAGAGCTGGTAGGTAGCCCAGGTGTGTCTGATTGTGGTTGGAATTAATGTTTGCAGGACACCAACCCTCCCGGACCGAGTGTGACTTAGAGTATCTTTTAGTTTTCAGACAGTTAGTATAATATTTTAGACTACACAATATCAATATTTTAACCTCTGAAAAGATAAGTAATTATTATTTTATATTCCTGACTATTAAAAAAAATATACAATGACAATTTTTTTTAGAAACTTAGCCTGGTAATATTGTAATATAGTCCATGCATATGACATGCACTACTCCCAAATAACATTCATAACAGACTGAATTAAACATTTTTGTTGACATATATAGAAAGACATAGATATGGAAAGTCATTGTAATTAATTTTATTATTATTTTACATTATTGTATTCATGGGATCCACTTGTTCCCATCACAAATCAGTCAACAATAATTTAACAGACTAATAAACATGACTTATGATTTTTCCATCACCACAAACATTCTCACATGATTGCTCTCTTTCATAAAAGAGACTGTGAATCCCAACTGTAAGGCATCTATCAGATATTAAAAATGAGCCACAGTAAAGTCAGCAAGCGAACGTGACTAAACACTGCATAGAAAAAATACATACACACTTTCTTCCATTCGCTATATTAACAAAACGGTAGCGACAAGTTGATCTCGATCATTAAAACGGACACAAATCAGTCAATAAGACTTGAGGTGACTGAAATATGAAGCTACATGTAAATCAAACTCAGCAAACAAAACCGATTTCTCAATTTAGGCTCTTAACGTAAAAAAAATGACATCATCAGTCGTAGTTAAAAGCATTACTGCTTATATGTGAAAGACGTAATCATTCTGTGTGTTCGCTTATTGTATATGAGTGATTAGTTAAGGCATATAGTTCAACATGTGATGGAAGGTGTAGATGTTTTTCTGTTCTGTAAGATATCGCCTCTGGAATGGCAGAAAGGGCTGCTGGGATTTCGCCAGGGGTCGTGTGGGTTTATTTCTGTAAAGCTTTAGTCACTGTTTGCTTTAGTTAAGATGAAGAACTTGCTTCATGAACTCGTAGGTTGTGAAGGCAACGGCTTGTGACGGGACACAGCGGATGTAGTTGAGGGACAGGCC